TTTGAATGTAAATGTGCTCATTTTTCTTCTCTCCCCCATTGCCCTCAGAAAGCAAGCCTCCTTCTCCTCTCCTAGGATGGCCTTGCCCGACTGGTTGGAAGGCCAATTTTATCTAGCAAGCTGTCACGGGAGAAAAAAGCAGCTGGTCACAATAAGTATGACAAATAAGGGTTACATGTCTCTGAAGAAGCCTTTGTGAGATGAGATGGACTTAGCTGAAACTCCCTGAAATCCCTAAAGTGTAATCACTTCTTTAAATGTAAACCTCTTTCTTGTGGTGTTTTAGATATATGTCCTGTGTAATCATTAGTCGGATTTTGTGTGAACCAGAACTCGCTGTGTATGAATCAGAATCATAACTGAATAGAAAAGACTAAGCTTGGAATTGTTTAAAGAAACATGTAACTTAAAAGAGAAACCAGATTGATGCAATCTGGACACTGGTTTATGTCACTAGGTGCTGAGAAGACACTGATTAAGAAGGACTCAGTAATGGTCACAAGGCACGTAGGCACTGTTCACCAATAGTTTAAAACTGATAAGACATTGTCTGTTGTTGCTGTAAACACTGAAAGTAAAATCTGCCTGATGGAGCAGATTTTTTGATAATGATGCTGACCTGTCTCCCCATAACCTGGTTGCAGAATAAATTTAGCTCGGCTGGGCACGGTGGCTCGAATCTGTAATTCTAGCACTTTGGAAGGCCGAGGCAAGAGGATGGCCTGAGCCTGCAAGTTTGAGACCAGCCTGGGCAACATGGTGAGAACTCGTCTCTACAGTAAATAAAAAAATTAACTAGACAAGGTATCACGCACCTGTAGTTCCAGCTACTTGGAAGCTGAGGTAGAAGGATCACTGGAGCCCAGCAGGTCAATGCTGGGGTAGCCATGAGTGAGTCACTGCACTCCAGCCTGGGTGACAGAGTGAGATGCCAACACACACACCCACAAAACAATAAATTTAACTTCTTTTCTCCCAGCCCTCTGCCTCTAGTCTTTGATTGGCTGTGAGAGAAGAAGTCGATTTATTTGATGGGACCGTAAAACTCCTTGAATGGAGGAAATGCAGGCAGAGAAGGGAGTTGCTGATAAACCTAAAATATTCTCTCTCCCCAGCTGTCTGTTAGGAAAGGGCATAAATGTGGTTTGCTTTTCATTCACTGAGGACAAGTACCTAGAGGGGATTTAGTCATTTAGGAGCATTTACTAAGCACTGACTGTGAGCCTGGAATTGTGGAAGGCACTGGATTCGGAGATGAATGAGACAAAAGGAGGCAGAATGGCTACACCCCAAAATGTCAAACTATCAAGAAGAGTCATCACCCGGTAGTAGGTGCCATGAGTTCAGGTTCTGGGAGCAGTTCCCAGGCCTGGAGCACATTTGATGAGACTGTTATGAGTAATTTCATTAATATTATAATTATTTTATATCATTTAAAAATGATAACGATTAACCCATTATATAGTACACCTTTTATAACAGAAAAACAACTGGCAATAGTGACTGCTGTGTTTTGGGCCAGTTAAATGCTTGTCACGTATACACCCTTGAGAAGGTTTTTTTTAAAAAGCCCAGAATCCCCATTTCACAGGTAAGGAAAACTGAGGTTTTGCACTCCCCAGGCCTTTCCCAAGATGACTCAGTGGTGCTTTCCCTGCCGTGGACACCTCTTTACCTCACACTCTCTATCACTGAACTGTGTCGAATTCAGTTTTTAAAATGAACTGACAGGAGGCGAAAATTACAATGTGCAGAAATGGCCGTCCCGGAAGTGTCCGTTTCAGTTCCTGGCTGGAGGCTGACGCTGCCCAGCATGTCAGGATGGCCGTCCTGAGGTTGCAACACTTCATGCAGAACTGGGAGCCAAAATAAACCTAGATAAACCTATTTTCTTTATAAATTAAAAAAAAAAGATAAAAAAGAAATGGCCATCCCCATTTCTCAGAAAACTGAGACAGCGACTTGACTAATTCTCCCAGGACCTAAGTTCTTCTGACTTTATTTATTTACTAAACAGATCTTTATCAGAAAGAGTCAATATTGATCATCACATTAAATGGTTCACCTCTCCATACTCTTGTTTGGTCAGAACCTGCATGGGGATACCTCTGAAGGTAGCTCTGGGTGGGGATGGGGGTGGCAAGAGTGGGTCTTAGAGCTATTTTCAATATTTCAAAATAGCCTGATAAGAAATTGCACAGCTAGCGGGGCTCGGTGGCTCAGCCTGTAATCCTGCGCCTTGGGAGGTGAGTAGATTGCCTGAGCCCGCGGGTTCGAGACCCGCCTGGGCAACTTGGCGAGACCTCATCTCTACAATAAATAAAAAAATCAGCCGGGCGTGGTAGTGTGCACCTATAGTTCCAGCGACATGGAAGGCTGAGGCAGAAGCATCGCCGGAGCCCAGCAGGTCCAGGCTGCGGTGGCCGGGAGTGGCCACTGCACTCCAGTCTGGGCAACAGTGAGACTCCAACTCAAAAAAAAAAAGAAGTCACACAGCTAAAAGAAGAAAAGAGCCATCTTTTCCTCTTCCTCCTCTCCCTCCCTCCTCCCCCCTCCTTCTCCCTCCTCCTCTGTGTGCTCTTCCCACCCCTCCTCCTCCTTATTTTTCTCCTTCTCCTCATTCTCTTCCTTTTCCACTTTTCTCACAACTAACAAAAACAAGGTTAAGCAAAGTCACCATCTATTCTCATGCATGTCACCCAGTGTTCAGGCTGCAGTCTCATGGGGCGCGCACCCACTTCACACTGGAATCCTCTCCCGCCCCCACCCCACCAGCAACAGCCCAGCTTATAGCCCCCAGTCCATCCGTGTTTGCTTGAAAGATTGGAAGAGAAATTCCTCCTGTCTACGAAGATTTTCCTGTCCTTTCTGTTCAGGTCACATCTACAAGTTCTCCTGGCAAAATTGTGAAGAGCAAGAATAAGGGGCCAACGTTTCTACCTATCCTTGCTCCTTTATTCCTGGAGACAGACCCTCTCCCCACCATGGCTTGGGTCCTCGGGGCAGGAATTGGCCCTTAAGTATGTCTTTTTTGGATCCAGGTGTGGGCCTTGGCCAGCGCAACTCTACGCGGCACTATTAATAAGGGCAATAGCTCAGGGAGTTAAGCCTTCACTAAGGTACTGAGTACCAGGCTAAGTACTTGCCGGGTGTAGAATACTCACAATGACCCGAGGCAGTCAGCAATAGCATCCTCATTTCACAGGGGAGGACACTGGGTCTCAAGGAGACACTGGGTCTCAAGGAGGTGAAGCTCTGCCCATGGCCACACAGCTAGGAAACACCGGCCCCATGAGACACACAGGCTGTGGCTCCGACCACTGCTGCCCAGTGGCTGTTCCCAGGCTTACCCCTGGAGAGGCTCAGAATGTAATACGCCCACCCTGCTGGTTATTGACTTGCCAATTTTGGACATCGCTGTCTATTGATTTCTTGCTCTGTAAGATGAGAAGTTAACTCTTACTTCTATCACCATCTGCATGCACGCAGTCTCTCCTCACCCAGACTCCCAGAGAAGGAAGAGCACCATTTCCAATTGGATGTGTGGGGGCTGCCAGCAGCCCTGAAGCAAGAGGTGGGCAGGGCTGGCAGGAGGGAGGTGGAGGTGGGAGGACAAGCAGACACAACACTGGTGCACTCAGGCTTTCCAGAGAACCCATCCACAGCTGAGATTGTCTTTGACTCCTCGCCTACTGGGTGCTATGGATGAACTGCCTTCTTTGCCGGCTGCCAGTTAATCAGGTTGTCCCCAAAATGTAAACTTTTCTGCAGATTTGTTCTTTTCTCTCTTGTATAAATCCTGTTCTTGCCTTGGTTCATTAACAGTGGTCTAAAGCCGGGCTCGGTGGCTCAGCCTGTCATCCCGCGCCTTTGGGAGGCTGAGGTGAGTGGATTGCCTGCGCCCGCGGGTTCGAGACCCACCTGGGCAGCGAGACCTCATCTCTACAATAAATCAAAAAATCAGCCGGGCGTGATAGTGCATGCCTGTAATTCCGGCTACTCGGAAGGCTGAGGCGGAAGCATCGCCCGGAACCCAGCAGGTCGAGGTTGCGGTGGCCGGGAGCGGCCACTGCCCTCCAGTCTGGGCAACAGAGTGAGACTCCAACTCAAAAAAAAAACAAACAAAAAACAGTGGTCTAAGGACTGTCGCCTCTTACAGTGAGTAAACTATTCTGTAGAAGAAAGAACTCAAAGTCTCTGTGTTATTCATTGATCCAGATTGTTCCCAAAATTATGACAATGTGAACATTATCCACAGCTGACCTTTCTTTTCTTATTTACTTCTTTAGTTTCCCTGGATTTGAGAACGTCTTTGTTTTCTCTACATGGAATTTACCCCCAGCTTTGGGACAAATCCAGCTTATCCCTTGGTCACACTTACTCTCTGATCATTGCTGTGTTTTCACTTACAGTAAGCCTCCCACTCGTCTCCTGTCTTAATTGAGATAGGAACCCTCTTAGGTCTCCAAACAGCTGCTATCCAGGCCACCCTCACCATCGTGCTGAGATTTTTTCATCTTCACCTCTCTTCTGGCAGGAGTCCTGTTTTCTTCACCCTTTTTTTTTTGTCTACTCCCTAGATGTGATGGAGCACGTCTTCCAGCAGCTCACCTAGATCTTGCATGTCTCATGATGTCTTTATTCTACTCTGTACTTGATTGGTAATATAGTGTTCTAGATGGCAAGTAATTTTCTATTATAAATTTTACTGTTTTAATCATTTTTTAGTGTACAATTCAGTGGCATTGAGTACATGCACAATCACCACCATCTATACCCAACACTTTTCATCACCTTAAACAGAAATTCTGTGCCCATTAATCACAAACTCTCCATTTCCCACTCCCTCGCTTCCATTCTTGGTAACCTGGATTCTACTTCCTAACCATGAATTTGCCTGTTCTAGTTAGCTCATATAATTGGAATCACACAATATTTTTCCCTATGTAACTGGCTTATTCACTTGGCATAACATCTTCAAAGTTCAACCATGTCGTAGCATGTATAAGTACTTCATTTTGGTAATGGAATAATATTCCACGGTATACATTAAACATTTTGCTTCTCCATTCATATTTTGATGAGTAATTAGGTTGTTTTTACCTTTGGCTACTAGGAATTATGCCGCTCTGAATGCTGGTTCACAAGCATCTATATGAATCCTTGCTTTCAGTTCTTTTGGACATATTCCTAGGAGTTCAATCACTGGGTCATATGGTAGTTTTGTGTTTTAAGAAACTGCCGGACTTTTCCATGGCAGCTGCACCCACAAGCAATGCATGAAGGTTCCAGTTTCTCCACATCTCCAACACTTGCTATTTTCCTTTTTAAAAAATAATAGTCATCCTAATGGGTGTGAAATGATATCTCATTGTGGTTTCTAACTTGCATTTTACCAATGACTAATGATGTTGAGCATCTTTTCATGTGTTTATTGACTACGTGTATAGCTTATTTGGAGAAATGTTGATTCAAGTCTTTTGCCCAGTTTGGATTGAGTTGTTTATTTTGTTATTGTTGAGTTTTTAGAAGCTCTTTATATATTCTATCAATCTCTTATCAGAGATGAGATTTAGAAATATTTGCTTTCATTCTGAGTTGTCTTTTCACTCTCTTGATAGCATCTTTTGATGCACAAAAGTTTCTGTTTTGTTTTTTTTTCTTTTTTTTGGTTGGGGGGGTCTCACTCTGTTGCCCAGTATTGGAGTGCAGTGGCATCATCGTGGCTCACCACAGTCTTAACCTCCTGGGTTCAGGCGATTGTTCCACCTAAGCTCACTAGTAATTGTGACTATAGGCATGTGCCACCATGCTTGGCTTACTTTTTTATTTATTTTTTGTGGATACGAGGTCTCATTATGTTGTCTAGGCTGGTTTCAAACTCCTGGGCTGAAGCAATCTTCTCACTTCAACCTTCCAAAGTCCTGAGACTACAGGCATGAGCCGCCATGCCTGACAAGTTTTTAATTTTAATGAAGCCCAATTTATCTATGCTTTATTGTTGTCACCTATGCCTTTGGTGACATATACAAAATGTCATTGCCAAATTCAATGCATGAAGATTTTCCCCTATGTTTACTTCTAAAAGTTTTATAGTTTTAGCTCTAAGTCTTTGATCTATTTAGAATTAATTTTTATATATGGTGTTAGGTAAAGGTTCAGCTTCATTCTTTTGCATGTGGATATCCAATTTTCCCAGCACCATTTGCAGAAAAGACTGTCCTTTTTGCCACTGAATGGAATTTTAGGGTTTTTTTTAAAATACAAGATTATGTTTTCTGTGAGCAGAGATAATCTTATATTCTCCTTTTCAGTTTGGATACCTTTATTTCTTTTTCTTGCCTAAGTGCTCTGGCTAGTAATTCCATTGCTATGCTGACTAGAAATGGTGAAAGTCTTGTTCCTGATCTTTCCATCTTTCACCATTGAGCCATACCATGTTATTAGCTGTGGGTTTTTCTTGCTGTTTGTTTTTGAGTCGGAGTCTCGCTCCTTCACCCAGGCTGGAGTGCAGTGGCATGCGCACTAACGGCCACCCCAGTGTTGACCTGCTGGTCTCCAGTGATCCTTCCACCTCAGCCTTCCAAGTAGCCAGAACTACAGACGCTACTCCTGGCTACTTTCTAATTTAATGTAGAGATGAGGTCTCGCCAAGTTGACCAGGTTGCCTGCGGGCTCAGGCAATTCGCTCACCTCGGCCTCCCAAAGTGCTGGGATTACAGGCTGAGCCACTGAGCCTGCCAGCTTGGGATTTTTAAATATGGCCTTTGTCGTGCTGAGGAAATTACTTGTTATTCCCAGTGTATCATGAAAAAGTGTTGAACTTTGTTGAATGCTTTTTTTTTTAATCAATTGAGATGATCATGTAGTTTTAGCCTTCATTCTTTTAATGCGATGCATTATATTGATTGACTTTTGTATATTGAACCATCGTTATACTCCAGGAATAAATCCCACTTGGTTATGCAGAATCATCCTTTTAATATGTTGTTGGATTCAATTTGCTAAATTTTTTTAGAATTTCTGTATCTGTATTCATAAGGCAAGTTGGTCTATAATTTTTCTTTTCTTGTGATGTCTTCATTGAACGTTCGTAGCAGTGTAATGCTGGCTTCACAGAATGAGCTAGGAAGGGCTCCCTCCTCTTTGATTTTTGGGAAGAATTTGAGTGAGATTAATGTTAATTCTTCTTTAAATGTTTGGTAGAATTTACCAGTGAAGCCATCTGGTCCCAGGTTTTTTATTGAGGGGTGTCTGATTACTGATTCAATCTCCTTACTAGTTATATATTTACTTTTGTGTCTTTATTTTCTCTTATGGCTTCAAAGTGCTGTCTAGTGTACTTTCATTTCAGCATGAAAGACCCCCGTTAGCATTTCTTGTAGGGCAAATCTACTGGTAATGCATTCCCTCAGATTTTATTTATCTGGAAATGTCTTAATTTATTCTCCATTATTAAAATACGTTTTTGCAGTATAAACAATTCCTGGTTGACAGTTCTTTTTTCTTTTAGGACTTTAATTATCAATCTACTGCCTTCCAGCCTCCATGGTTTCTAAGGAAAAATCAGCTGTTAACCTTATTAAAGATTCCTTGTACATGACAAGTTGCTTCTCTCTTACTGCTTTCATAGTTCTCTCTTTGTCCTTGGGTTTCTACAACTTTGTTGCAATATATCTTGGTATTGGTTTCTTTGAATTTTTCCTCTTGTAATTTGTTGAGCTTCTTGAACATGTATATTCACACATTTCCTCAGATTTGGGAAGTTTTGGGCATTATTTCTCCAAATATATTTTCTCCTCTTTTCTCCCTTTTCCTTCTGAAATTCCTAAGCATATATTAGTACATTTGGCTCTGTTCAATTTCCCTCAATCTTTTAACATTTTTGCTCCAGAGATAATTATGTTAATCATCTGTATCTTTAAGTTCACTGATTCTTTCTTCTGCCTGCCCAAAATTACTGATAAACCCTTCAGTGAGTTTTCAGTTTCAGTTATTGTGCTTTTTTTTTCAGTTCCAGAATTTCTGTTTGGTTCCTTTCTTTAAAAAAAAAAAGATATACCTTTTTTTATTTTTGAGTCAGAGTCTTACTCTGTTACCCATGCTGGAGTGCAGTGACATGTTCACGACCACCACAGCCTCAACCTGCTGGACTCAGGCAATCCTCCCTCCTCAACCTCTCAACTAGCTGGAACTACAGGTGCATACCACAATGCCTGGCTAACTTTTTGATTTATTGTAGAGATGAGGTCTTGCCAAGTTGCCCAGGCTGGTCTCGAGCTACTGGGATCAGTTAATTCTCTTGCCTTGGCCTCCCAACATGCTGGGATTACAGGTGTGAGCCACGATGCCTGGCCTAAAAATAGACAATGTTTTTTTTTTTTTTGAGTTGGAGTCTCATTCTGTCACCCAGACTGGAGTGCAGTGGCCGCTCTCCCGGCCACTGCAGCCTCAACCTGCTGGGCTCCGGCGATCCTTCTGCCTCAGCCTTCTAAGTAGCTGCAACTACAGGCGCGCACTACCACGCGCAGCTAATTTTTGATTTTATTGTAGAGATGAGGTCTCACCAAGTTGCCCAGGCGGGTCTCGAACCCTCAGGCTCAGGCAATTCACTAGCCTCAGCCTCCCAAAGTGCTGGGATTACAGGCTGAGTCACCGAGCCCGGCTAAAATAGACAAATTTTTAGAGCAGTTTTAGGCTCACAGCAAAACTGAGTGGAAAGAACAGAAAGTTCCTATGTATCCCAATCTCCTCTTCCTATATATCCCAATCTCACAGACTCTTCCACTATCAATATCCCTCACCAGAATAGTATGTTTGTTATAGTCAATGAGCCTACATTTACACTTCATTCTTATCCGAAGCCCATGGTTTATACTAGGGTTTTCTTTTGGTGGTATACATTCTGCAGGTTTGGACAAATGTATACTGAAATGCATACTGCCCTAAAAATCCTCTGTGTTCCACCTATTCATTCCTCCGTTTTCCAAAACTCCGGCAATCACTGATCTTTTTACTGTCTTCATAGTTTTGACTTTTCCAGAAAGTCATGGATTTGGAATAATAGAATAGAATTTTTACCTTCGTTTCTCTTACTTAGTAATATGCATTTAAGGTTATTCTATGTCTTTTCATAGTTTGATAGCTCTTTTTAAAGCATTGAATAATATTCCACTGTTTGGCTGTACCATTGTTTATTTATAGGTTCACCCACTGAGGAACATTTTGGTTGCTTCCAAGTTTTGGCTCCTTTTTTTTACAACTTCTATATCTTTATTCGTATTCTCATTTTGTTCATACACCATTTTCCTTATTTTCCTTAGTTCTTTGTCTGTGATTTCCTTAAACCCACTGAGCACATTTAAGACAAATCTTGGTTTAACGTCTTTGACTTAATTTCAGAGTAGTTTTCCTTGGAAATGGTTTCTGTCACACTCTTCATTTCCTGTGAATGTGCCAAAGCTCCTCCTTCTTTGTGTGTCTTGTAAATGTTTTTGGATAACTGGACATTTTAAGTATAATATTGTGGCAACTCTGGAAATCTAATTTTACTATTCCTCAGGGATTGCTGAGTCTACCTTGTTAAAGGCTAGAGCCATCTGTTTGTGACTTTTCTAAACTTTTATTTTTAAACTTTAATTTTTTTCCAGACTTTTGTTTTTCTTTTTGCACAATATACATTCCTTGTTGTCTGTGGTCACTGAAGTTTCTGTTCTTTTAGCTCTGCAGTCAACCAGTGACCTGACAGAGATTTCCTTAAAAGCCCAACCCACAAAAAGAGAGGTGACTACTGTCTCTTTAAATCCCTTGAAAGCCATATCAACCATGGGGTTCAAACAAAGCTGCCAGCCTCTGTGCTGGCCCATCAGTGATCAAATGCAGCAGCCAGCAATCAGAGCCCACAACCCCAATATTTGGAGAGCAAAGCTCTCCTTGCCCACCCTAGCTCTAGCAAGCGGCATGGGGAACTTGAGCAGCTGTCCGCCCAGCTGTGTGTGTGGGTCTGGGAGCTACAGAATAGCCAGTATCATGTGGTAGGATGAAAGTCACCTACATTTACCATTACATCTCCCATGGATGACTCCAGAGTTCTGAAATAGTTACTTCAGATGGTTGCTGCTAGCTCGATAGTTATTCAACGTGAGGGGCAGATTCCCAGGGCTTTTTTTTTTTTTGAGTCAGAATCTCACTCTGTCACCCAGGCTGGAGTCAAGTGGCACACTCATGGCCACTGCAGCCTCAACCTTCTGGGCTCAGGCAATCCTTCTGTGTCAGCCTTCCAAGTGGCTGGAACTACAGAGGCATGTCACCATGCCCAGTTAATTTTTTGATTTATTGTAGACACAAGGTCTTGCCAAGTTGCCCAGGCTGGGCTCAGGCAATCTTCTCCCCTCAGCTGGGATTAGAGGCGTAGATTCCCAGAGCTTTCTACTCCACTGTCTTCCCCGATGTCACTCTCCTCAAGTCCCAATATGGCTTTTAGATGTCCCCAATTTACTAATTGACAAAGTTTTATCAGTAATCTGCTTATTCTCAAGAAGGTTTTAGAGCCTGCTCTTAACCTCTGTGCTCCTATATTTCATAATGATGTATCCTAGTTTGTGAGAATTTGTTGCATGGGACACTTGATCCACTCTTTAAATCTGGAAGCCAATGTCCTTCAAATCATTAATAGACCTCTGGACCTCTTGAAATGACTCCATAATTTTGTATCTTTTGTCTCCTGTTTTTTGGGAAGTTTTTTGAATTATGTCTTTCAACCCTCCTATCAATGTTTTTATTCTGGCTATTATATTTTTAATTTCTAATAATTTTGATCTGTTCTGTGAGTGTTCTTTACAAATAGTACATAGCTATGTTCCATGGCTATAAAATCTTCTATTTTTGAGGATATTAGTTTTTGCTGCTGTTGGTTTAAAATTTTCTTCTAGGGCAACCCCTTTGGGTCCCCTCCCACTGTGGGAGCTCTTCTGTCCTCTCAATAAATCCTGCTTTCTCAAAAAAACAAAAAACAAAAAAAACTTTTTATCTTTTGTTTCTTGCATTGTCTCTGTTGGCTTTGGGGGCTTATCCTCTGCTTGGTTTGAAGTCTCTTTCATCTTAGGCCATACTCCAATATCAGGTGATGCTTGACTGTTGGTTCACAGCTCAGATCGAGCCACTGACAGCTGATTGGAAGTTCTGGGTAAGCAGATGGGGTTGTTGCTGCAGAAGCTTTGATTGGGTACCGTCTCTGCCAAGGTCATTTTCTAGAGAGAATCTCCCATTGTTAGTGCCGCTAGGTCTTCTCCTTTGGATCCGTTTTCCCAGAACCATCTTCTGATTTCTGGCCATCTGCAGGGTGGGGAGAGAGGCATATCTTAAACCGAGCACCCCTTAGGTAGAGGCTGGATGAGTGGGAAAAGTCTATCCAGGAGGGAGATTCTCCCTCAATCCCCCTATTGCCCGGCAGGACCTTGTTGTGACCCTCAGCTGTGCCTGAGGAGACCCCCCCCAATATTATGCACAGGTGGGTTAGGGACTGCACCTGCCAGGGAATGGGAATCTGGTCGGTTTCAAGCTCTTGCTATATAAATTTCCAACTAATCCTTTTTCATAGCATCATACCTTCTCTCCATGGTACTACTGTCAGGGATGCTTGGTGACTCTGATGCCAGACTTTCTTTCTTTTTACTTTATTTTATCATAGAGATGTGGGTACAAGTCAGGATTAGGTACATAAGTAATATACATGCAGGTAAAGTTTGGAGTTCCAACCTGATTCCAGAGACTTTCTAATGTTCTGTGGTTCAAAACAGCTTTATTTTCCCCTGTGGGAATCAAAGAGAGATTATTATTATTATTATTATTTCATTTGGGGGTCTTACTCCATCTCCCAAGCAGTGGCATGATCGTAGCTCACCAAAGCCTTGATTTCCTGGACTCAGGTAATCTTTCTGCCTCAGTCTCCCCAGTAGCTGGGACCACAGGTATTGCCACCACACCTGGCTAATTTTTGGATTTTTTTTTTGGTAGAGGTGAGGTCTTGCTATGTTGCCCAGAATAGTCTTGAACTCCTGGGCTCAAGCAATCCTCCCACCTTGGCCTCCCATAATGCTGGGATTACAGGTGTGAGCCACTGCATCTGGCCCAAGTGGGCAGATTTTTTTTTTTTTTTGAGTTGGAGTCTCACTCTGTCACCCAGGCTGGAGTGTAGTGGCATGCTCATGGCCACTGCAGCCTTACCTTCTGGACTTAGGTGATCCTTCTGCCTCAGCCTTCCAAGTAACTGGAAGTACAGGCACACACCACCATGCCCGGTTAATCTTTTTTTTATTTATTATAGAGATGAGGTCTCGCCAAGTTGCCCAGACTGGTCTCGAACCCATGAGATCAGGCAATCCTCTCACCTTGGCCTCCCAAAGTGCTGGGATTATAGGCGTGAACCACCGCGCCTGGCCAGTGGACAGATCTTAATCAGCAATCAGGCACTGCAATCCTTGCCTCTCCCAAACTGCTGCTGATCTCTGTTTTCTTCTGTGGAAACTCATGCCATTCCCTCTCTATTTGAGGAGAACTATACTTTGCTGTCAGTTTAGCAAAATGTCAGGAGGGAGTAGGATAAGCTCCTGTATTGAAGCTGCCCAGTACTGGGATTCCCTGCGGGGCACCTGCATCTCCTGCAAGAGCCGCTGGTCTCTTCTTAGCTTGCATTCATGAAAAGATACACAAATGCCTTCCCAAATGTTGCCAAGGAGAAGCTGCTGAGGGAAGCACATGTCATAAAACCCTCAAAATCCTCAAAATGATAGAGGAGTTGATGCATCTGTATAATGGGACACTCACAATAACACACAAGCAGTCTGTGCAGGGAGCATCAGCATGGATGGCTCTTGAGGATTGTGTGGAGCAAATAAAACCAGACACAGAAGTTCAAGTTGGGCAATATTCACCTATAGTGGTAACAAGTCAGAAGAGGAGTCACCTCTGGGAGTGGGTATCGGAAGGGAGGGGACCCAAAGAGCCTTTGGGGTACAGAAAATGTTCTACATCTCAATGTAGATTGCAACGACACAGGCACATGCAGATGTGCCCTTCCCCACACTTAAGATCTGTGTGTGTTACACACGCCATCGTGTGTTTCATGCCTCAGAAAAAAGAAAAAGGGAAGGAAATTGACATTTATTGAGTCCTTGCTGCATGCTAGGCACTACCTAGGTCTGCTTTTTTTTTGGTTTGAGTTGGAGTCTCACTCTGTCACCCAGCCTGGAATGCAGTGGCACACTCACGGCCACCCCAGTGTCGACCTGCTGGTCTCTGGTGATCCTTCTGCCTCAGCCTTCCAAGTAGCAGAACTACAGGTGCGCACTGCTACACCTGGCTAATTTTTATTTATTGTAAAGACGAGGTCTTCCCAAGTTGCCCGGACTGGTCTCGAACCTGCAGGCTCAGGTGATTCACGTGCCTCGGCCTCCCAAAGTGCTAGGATTACAGGCTCAGCCACCAAGCCCGGGTCCAGCTAATTTTTTATCTTTATTGTAGAGACGAGGTTTCACCAAGTTGCCCGGGCAGATCTCGAACCCGTGGGCTCAGACAATCCACTCACTTTGGCCTCCCAAAGTGCTGGGATTACAGGCTGAGCCACCGAGCCCGGCCCCTAGGTCTGCTTTTTTAAGATGCATGTATTATGAGCAACTACTATGTCCTAAGCACTATCTGGGTTCTGAAGACCCAGCAATGAACAAACGGTCAGGTACAGCCCCTGCCATGTGACACTCACAGTTAGCCAGCCTAAGAGACAGAACCAAACAGCCACACTCTTAGACCACGGTGTCAGGGCGTTAGGTGTGCGTGGAAGAGGGGCTGGGGGGAGAGTCAGAATGTCTTCCCTGAGGAAATGAAGTTTAAACAGAGATCTCAAGGATGAGAAGAAAATAACCTGCTGGGAATGGGCACGGGGTGGGGGAAGAAGAGCTTTCTCATTCAAAGGGAGCTGCCTGTGCAACGATCCTGTGGTAGGAAGAGGCATGGTACATTAAGGAGCACAGAGCAGAGCGCTGCTGATATGTGTGTGGGGCGGGGAGGGTCCTCAGAACAACTGTTTCACAGATGGGAAAGTGAGACTCAAAGAGGTGAGGTGGTTGCTCCTCCAGGCCACCCAGCGAGTGCAGCTGGGGTTGGAAGCTGGCTTTGTCTGGCTGCCCTCTGCTCGCGGAGACAGAGAGGGTGTCTGTGGGAACGAAAGCCGGAGAGGCCCCTGGGCTCCACTCAGGCCCCTGGGCTCCGGTCAGCTCACGGGCTGCCCTCACGCTCCTGTCTCTCAGCCCCACAGGGCCTGTGGACCAGGGCAGCTATGGGAGCCTGCCCTGAAGAAGAGTACTGGGATTCCCTGCGGGGCGCCTGCATCTCCTGCAAACCCACCTGCAGCCTTCGGAGCCAGCGCACCTGTGTGACCTTCTGCAGTGAGTTCCGGGGCCTGAGCCAGCTGGATTATCCCCCTCGCTTCTTCCCAGAGCTCCCTTTGGCCCCACTGCAGTCGAGTGGCTGAGGAGGGGGTAGCGGGAGGAGACAGACAGTGTGGCACCTCTTCACTCCTCCGTCTTCCTGTCTCTTTTCAGCATCTTGAATGCACCTTGTTCTTTCCTTCCTCGGGTCCTTTGCACATGCTGCTCCCCCTGCCTGGAATGCAGTTCCTCCCTTCATCTTCTCTCTGCAACCTCCTATCCAAACTTCAGGCCTCCGCCCAAATGTCAGAGGTCTTCTCTGACTACCCAGTAGAAATTAGGCCATCCTTTTGTCACTATTGTTACTTTCGTTTGAAACTTTTTAGCATTTAAATGATCAAACACATACCTAGGAAAGCACAATAAAGTCCTGCGAGCCTATCGTCTGTCTTTTAATTTCCCAACCAATTCTTTTTTGAGGCAAGGTTTCACTCTGTTGCCCAGGCTGGAATGCAGTGGTACAATCATGGCTCAGTGGCAAAATCACGGCTCACTACAGCCTCAATCTCCTGGGCTCTAGGGATCTCCTGCCTCAGTCTCCTGAGTAGCTAGAACCACACAAGTGCACCACCACACTCAGCTAACTTTTCCTTTTTTTTTTTTTTTTTAAATAGAGACAGGTCTTGGTCTTGCTTTGTTGCCTAGGCTGGTCTTGAACTCCTATAGCCACAAGTGATCCTCCCACCTCGGCCTCCCAAAGTGCTGGGATTAGAGGCATGAGCCCCCAACCAATTTTTTTTTTTTTGCTTGTGTATATTAAAGCAAATCTAAGACCTCACATCATTTAACCTGTAGATACTAGATCACAGTATTCTTAAAAAACATAGCCTCAACCTCTTATCGGCCCCAGCAATAATTCCTAAACATAATTAATACTCAGCCCATATTCCGTTTGTCCTGACTGACTTGAAAAATATCTGTTGCTAACCGATCTTTTTTGTAACTTGTTCTTTTCTTTGATAGAACTTATCACAATTTGCTATTTTGTCCTTTCGTGTGTATTTGTTTCATGACCAACTCAACCACTAGATTGTGAGCTGCCTGTGGGGGCAGAAACCATGCCTGACTTGAGCCTAACACAGTGCCTGGCGCAGAGTAAATGCTTTATAAAAACTTGTTGCATGGAACTCAGCGAGGCTGAGTGACTTATCCAAGATCACAAATGGAAACATCTGGATTTGAACCCAACTTTCTGTCTCCCAAATCATGGTTCTGAACCACCACCATTAATGAATTAGAACATCCATTGTTTCATCCTGCAAATATATACATGGAACCCTGTAGCCCCAAACAATAGGAATCTGGCAAGACCCTTCAAGGAGAGTATCATCTAATGGGAGAAATACCTGCATTTCAAGGTGGAAAAGGAAGTACCATAAAAAGCCCAAGTGGGGATTAACCATCCTAGCTGACGGGTGGTGGAGAAGGGAAGTATTCTAGGAGGAGTGCTACCGGAGGTAAATTGAGTTCACAGAATGGGAGATTCAGATGGCGGGGGAGCACCTGGAAGAGAGCTGGTGCGTGTGGAAGTAGGAAAACACAATAGGGACTATCGCATTCCCAGGTGGGGGCGTTACGAGGTGGGGCGTGAGGACCAGTGGCCTGGGATGCCCAGACGCCACCTGAGCCAGCCATGCTAGGACTACTATGGAGGGGAGGAGGTCACGGAAAGCCCGAAGAACATCGCTGTTGGGCTGGCTCCGTATCGTGAGTGTTGGTGTCAGTCCCTGTGAGGTTCAATGGAGTCCTAGGATGAGACAGGGCCAGGGCAAGGGAGGTCATGGAGTTCTCCCTGAATTCCCGATTCTATGATCTTTTTAATCTATCCTTCACTTCCTTTACTTTGTCAAGGACAGGACGATGGGTGTGAGATTACATCGTAAAGAGGCTCAAATGAATCTTTGACTCAAATCTTCCATTAACTGAGCATTTACTATGTGCCAGGCAATGTGCTGGGGTCTTCAACTGTGCCCAACAACCCCAAGAAGGCAGTATTGTTATTATTCCTCACTTGGTAATGGCACGGAGTGATTAAGACCATAGTGCCTGCAAGTCGTAGAGCTGGGGATGGCCCCAAGTTCCTTTGGCTTTAAAGTCTGTTTTCTTGTCTTTTCCTTTTTTTTTTGGCATCTCACTCTTGTCGCCCAGGCTGGAGTGCAGTAGCACACTCATGGCCACCACAGTCTCAACCTGCTACGTTCAGGCAAACCTTCTGCATCAGCCTTCCAAGTAGCTGGAACTACAGATACACGCCACCACATCCGGCTAGTTTTTGTAATTTATGGTAGAGATGAGGTCTCACCAAGTTGCCCAGGCTGGTCTCGAATTCCCAGGCTCAGGCAATCCTCTCGCCTCGACTTCCCAAAGTGCTGGGATTATAGGCTGAGCCATGGTGCCTGGCCAAAGTCTGTTTTCTTTTTTTTAATTTGAGTTGGAGTCTCACTCTATTGCCCAGACTGGAATGCAGTGGCTGCTCCCGGCCACCGCAGCCTCGACCTGCTGGGCTCCGGCGATCCTCCTGCCTCAGCCTTCCAAGTAGCTGGAACTACAGGTGCGCGCTACCACGTCCAGCTAATTTTTGATTTATTGTAGAGATGAGGTCTCACCAAATTGCCCAGGCGGGTCTCGAACCCGCGGGCTCAGGCAATCCACTCACCTCAGCCTCCCAAAGGCACGGGATTACAGGCTGAGCCACCGAGCCTGGCTTGTTTTTTAACCACTATCCAGTACTGCCTCTGAAATGTGTGCTTAAAATCTCTGTTAGTCACATTTTCATACAATTAGGAGTTTTTGTTTTCTTTTGAGAAAGAAGCAGGATTTATTGAGAGGACAGAAAAGCTCCCACAGTGGGATGGGACCGGAGAGGGTTGCCCAATTAGGAGCTTATTTTAAGGACAAAGAAAACTTGTCCCTTTCACATAAAACTTTCACATGAAGACTTTCATGTACAAATATTCTGAGGTTTCCATAAGACTGTCCCAAATATTTTTTTTTCAAATGCATTTCAAGTTAGGTCCACTCTATTAAGACAGATGTAATTAGGCTTTAGTTCCCTTGGTTTCTGTTCCTTGGTACTGATACCTGTTTAAACTACTATAATTCTCATTTATTATTAAGAAAGAAAAAACAATATTAATGTGGACTTTCCCACCTTCCTTCCAGTCCCCTTCCTTAATTTGCCAAAAAGGATTCTTGTTTTCCCCTCCATTCCTTATGCTAATTTGAAATATGTTTCTGCTTGATGAGACTTGAAAAATGCAAATAAAAATCTCATGTGACCGTGTAATCCAGATATCAGTTTTTAAAAATAACTAGAAGCCGGGCTTGGTGGCTCAGCCTGTAATCCTGCGCCTTGGGAGGCTGAGGTGAGTTGGATTGCCTGAGCCCGTGGGTTCGAGACCCGCCTGGGCAACTTGGCGAGACCTTATCTCTACAATAAATCAAAAATTAGCCGGGCATGGTAGCGCGCGCCTGTAGTTCCAGCTACTTGGAAGGCTGAGGCGGAAGGGTCACCGGAGCCCAGCAGGTCGAGGCTGTGGTGGCTGGGAGCAACCAGTGCACTCCAGTCTGGGTGACAGAGTGAGACTCCGACTCAAAAAAAAAAAAAACAACAACTAGAAAATCCTGTCTGGAAACTAAAAAATGCACTTTCAAAGAATCTATACATTAAAGCAAAAATAACAAGAAGTAAAAACATTTTGAACTAGATATAGGAAAAATACGACATATAAAATGTATGCAAGGCAGCTACAATAGTACTTAGGTGACAATGCATAGCCTTCAATTTGTATATTGTAAAAGGGTTTGGATTACTCTGAAATTACTTTTTTGGAAATCGGACTGCGATTTTTTTTTCCTTTACTTTGATGTCCTTCGAGGTCAGTCTCAAAGCTCCTGCAAGTCTCTGTCACCCAGTCATACCACTTGCTTCTGTCTCCCAGAGTCCCTGACAAGCTGCCGTAAGGAACAAGGCAAGTACTACGATCATCTCCTGAGGAAATGTGTCAGCTGTGCCTCTGTCTGTGGTCAGCACCCCATGCAATGCACGTACTTCTGTGAGAACAAATTCAAGAGCCGAGTGAACCTCCCACCAGAGCTCAAGAGGCAGAGGAGTGAGGAGACCGAAACCAGGTCAGACAACGTGGAAAGGTACCAGGGATCGGAGCACAGAGGCTCGGAGGCAGGTCCAGGTAAGCCACCCAAGGTGGGCCTGCATGGTGTCACGCAGGGTCAGAACGGGTAAGGGCCAGGCACCAGGCCTCCATAAGGAGAGTCTGCGGTGTGGGAAGCCCAGAGTCCAGGCGATGGCCAGAAGTCAGGGGGAGGGGTCATCGGGATAGTAAAACAGTTTAGGCAAAATTTTTGGATGTCTGTGAACAAGAAGAAAGTAAGAGAAAGGTCCTGACAGGTGAGAGAGAGTCTTGTGATGGAGGTCACTGAGGCCAAGTGAGTTCTCGAAGCTTAAGGCAACAAGTAACCCACCTGTGTGATCACTTGTATCAGGAGGCCATCATCTGTCTTCCACCAAAGTCTCAGATTCCATTTAGAGGCAGGGAGGCTTCCTAAGAGTGAGAAGGAATGGGTATTAATAAAAACATATATGGCTGGAGATGTCACTTTGGACATGCTAAGAAGGGTCCCGCTGAATTGGGCATTACTAAGTGCCAGGCTCCAGAAAGGATCTGATTAACTCTCCCAGCAAGCAGCTCCTGGCTCACCTACCCTGCCCTAAGGTGTCAGAAAGGACAGGAGGGGGCTGTCATGTGGATGCTTAAACATTTGAGATGACATCTGCACTGCTCTTGGCCCGTCTGTGGAGGGCCAATGGGTTTCTTTCTTTTGGTGTAACGTCATTTTTGTGAGGCCAAGGAGCCAAGGAGCCGAAGGGCTGAACTTGTATGCCTGCCAAACCCAAGTTCTACTTGACTAGCCTGTCATCTCTTATTATCGTCTGCTCTCTTGTCAGTAAGCTGTTGCTGTGTAACAAACTATCCCCAAACTCGGTGGTTCATGACTGATTCCTTGTGGGGCAGGGGTTTGGCTGGGGTCGGCTGTGTCAGGCTGGCTCACGGGGGTGGCTCTGTCCCTTGTCACTCATCCTTCTGGGGCCAGTAGGCTGGCCAGATATGTCCTTCTCATGATGATGTCCTTCTCATGATGGAGTATAACAGGCGCCCACAGGGCCTCTTGCCATTTAGGCTGGGAACTTGTGTCACATCACCGCTGCATCTTATTACTCACAAAGAAATAGTCACAAAGTCTCTAGTGTAAGGGAGGGAAAACAGATGCCACGTCTTGGGGGAGGGAGTGAGTGGTTAACAGTTGGCAGCCATGAGGAGTTTGTGGCCATCTTTAATCCAGTGCAGCCTCTCTCATGAGAGGGCCTGCAGGTTCACGTCGGAGGACGTGGATACAGAGGGGATGATGACCCAGCCACAAAGACAGGTGGCCATGCTTGGCCCTCCGGTGTCTTGAGGTCCGTGCTCCTCCTCTGCATTCAGTGATATGTTTGAATTTTCCCTCCAAACCTGTAACCTTCCTCATCTCTGATATAATAGTCTCCTGTTGGGGTCAGTTCTATTCACTTTACAGATCAAGAAACAGAGCCTTGGCCGGGCTCGGTGGCTCAGCCTGTCATCCCGGCACTTTGGGAGGCCAAGGCAAGTGGATTGCCTGAGCCTGTGGATTCGAGACCAGCCCGGGCAACTTGGCGAGGCTTCGTCTCTACAATAAATAAAAAATGAGCACGGTGTGGTAGCACACACCTGTAGTTACGGCTACTTGGAAGACTGAGGCAGAAGGATCGCAGGAGCCCAGCAGGTTGACGCTGGGGTGGCCGTGAGTGTGCCACTGCACTCCAGCCTGGGTGACAGAGTGAAACTCCAACTCAAAAAAGAAAAAAAAAGGTTACGAGACAGGTAGAGGTAAGGTGCTCCAGGCATCAGGAACAGCATATGCGGATGCTATGAGGGGGCAGGAAGCAGACTACGGAGGGGCTATGAGGGGCTTTGCACTAGAGGCTGGGCATCTCTGAAGAATAAGACTAAATCTCTGCATGAGGACTTCCAGCCTCGGGGGAGTGTGAAGAGGAGGGACCCTCCCACCCCAAATTGGCTTTGACATTGAGACCAACGGCTCCACACCCTCACCACGAGGGCCTGGAAAGTCACACGGTGAGGTTTCCAGGGAGAGCAGAGTATATACCTCCCATGCTGCTCTGCAAACGGCTTGAGACAGCAGAGAAGGCACTGGCCTGGGGTTTCACGGTGGTGGGGAGGAGACCAGGTAAGGGCTCCCACGAGTGGGAAGGGGCTTGCATAACTGGAGCCTCCCATCAGTGGCAAAGGAAGGAGCCACCAGACTTTCCTGTCTGCTTGCCCAGATGTGGGGCCGAAGGGGACGATACCCCCGAAAAGCCTCGAATATCAAAATACAGAGTCAGACTCTTTACTCCAGAAGGACAAGCAGCAGGTCCAGACCAGCATGATGAGCTTCCTGCCTGGGGTCAGGTGCCCGGTGGAGGGAGCATCTCCTCTCCCTGAGGGGAGCAGGTGGCCAGGTGGAGCCTGCACTGCAGAAGAAAAGGGTAGGAGAAGTACTGAGCGCAGGACAGGGAAGGGGCCCCATCCCCTATGTGCAGGGTGCAGAGGACTGAGCAGGAATGGCAAGCATCCAGGGGCGGCTGGAGGTGGCACCAGGAGTGAACAGATGCCAGATGAGAGGCCAACGTCCTGCTGGAGGTGGGGGCAGACATGGGACCAGGGCTCAGCAGAGACCTAGGGACATCCCTGCATTGTGTCTGGGGGGACAGATGTGATGATGGCGGCAGGGGCCCGGTGAAAGGCTGTGTCTGGCAATAATGGAAACCAGAGATGACAAGGGTCTGCGACGGGGACAGAGGGACAGTGTGCTGGCAGGTGATTGGGAGTGGATGGAAAGACCCTTGCATCTGGTCAGCTGTGGAGTTGCTTGGCCTCTCTGTGCTGCCGACCACATCAGGTGCTCATGACCCCTTCTTGGAATAATGTTCTGAAACACATCAAAACACATGGGAACAGGTATGGTGGCCCAAGCCTGTAATCCCAGCACTTTGGGAGGCTAAGGTGGGAGGATCCCTTGAGCCCAGGAGTTCGAGACCAGCCTGGGCAATAGAGTGAGACCTCATCTCTACCAAAAAATAAAAAATAAAAATTAGCCAGGCATGGTGATGTGCAACTCTAGTCCCAGTTACTTGGGAGGCTGAGGTAGAAGGACTGCCTGAGCCCAGGAGGTGAAGGCTACAGTGAGCCGTGGTCGTGCCACTGCACTCCAACCTAGGTAACAGAGTGAGACTCGACTCAAACAAACAAACAAACAAAATGGCGGTCACAAAGAATCACTAGTGTTGAGATACAGCTGTCAAAATGTTGAACAAATTACGACATCAGAATGAAACTCCGTGATTCTGTGCACATGTGTTAAGTACTAAGAGCAAGTGGCAGCCGTGTGACCACCGCAGTTGCAAATGAACGCCAAGACAGAGGGTGTTCCTGACTCTCTGAAACCCCTGCAACAGTACAGGAATCCCTGGGATTTTGTTGGTGAAAGAGACACAGTTGCTGCTTGTGAAACTAGGGGCCATGGCCCCCACGTATAATGGAAACGGAAAGAGGAAATTTCAGGTTGGCCACTCGAGAAAATAAACATTTGTTTTTCTTGTTTCCCCAAGTCACAGATCCCCTAGGTCCCACTCTGGTCCCTCTGGGTCCCTGTCAAGACCTGGGAGTGGCATAGCCAGCAGGGTTGCCCTTGTGCCTTGCTGTTCCCACCTGCCATGATCATGTGGCACCCACCTTGCAGGGCTCTCATGAGGCTTTGGTGACATGAGGTTTGACGAGTGTGTGAGACCTGCCCAGGTCTTAAGGGTCTGTCGCCTGTGATGGATGGGAAGAGTACAGCGTGGTCCCGAGGGCTCCATGACACCATGCACAAACTGAGTGGCTTAAAACAATACCAATGGATCCTCCCACAGTTTTGGAGGCCCAAATCTGAAATCAGTGTCAGCAGGGCCATGTTCCCTCAGAAAGCATCCAGAGAGAATCCTTCCTCGCCTCTTTAAGCTTCTGGTGGGCCCGGTGCGGTGGCTCCTGTCTGTAATCCTAGCACTTTGGCCAAGGCAGATGGACTGCTTGAACCCAGGAGTTTGAGAACAGCCTGGGCAACACAGCAAGGCCTCATCTCTACAACAAATTGAAAAAATTGGCCAGGTATGGTAGTGTGAGCCTGTAGTCCCAGTTACTCAGGAGGCTGAGGTGGAAGGATCATGTGTGCCCAGGAGATCGAGGCTGCAGTGAGCCATGATGGTGCCACTGTATTCCAGCCTGGGCGATGGAGAGAGAACCTGCCTCAAGCAAAACAAAAAAAAGCTTTTGGTGGCTGACTGCCTTGCTCTCCTTAGCTCATGACTACATTTCTCCAGTCTCTGCCCTGTCTTTGGGTGGTCTTCTCTCCTGTGTCTTTCCTCCACTCTTCTCTTCTAAAGACAAGTGTTGCCTTATCTAGGGCCCACCCTCATCCAAGCATCACTCAACACACAGAGAACCTGGAGGAGGCTGAGGCGACACAGGGAGGAAGCAGAGATGAGCCATGGGCAGGACAGAGACCAGAATGCAGGGACCTGCTGGTGTGATGTGTAGCCCCGGGACCACGAGGGAGGACAGCAGAAAGCCTTGGGCACGTGTCTATATCCTTAACTTTTTGTTTTTTTGAGTCAGGGTCTCACTCTTTCACCTAGGCTGGAGAGCAGTGATGTGATCCCCACTCACTGCAGCCTCAACCTCCGGGACTCAGGCAATCCTTCTGCCTCAGTCTCCCAAGTAGCTGGGACTATAGGTGGATGCCACCATGCCTAGGTGACTTTTTAAAAAAATTTCCTGTAGAGATGAGGTTTCATTATGTTTTCCAGGCTGGTCTTGAACTTGTGTGCTCAAGCAATTCTCCCGTCTCGGCCCCCCAAAGTGGTAGGACTTCCGGCGTGAGCCACTGCACCCGGCCTATGTCCTTAACTTAATACATATGCAAAGAGTCTTTTTTCCAAATAAGGTATACTTGCACAAGACAAGTGGACATATCTTTGGAGGCCACCATTCAACCCACCACATGGGGTGAAGGGCAGGGCCGTCCACCAGGGCAGGGACTCCAGAGGGATGAA